GTGGTCCTTGTGATTTGCCAAGCTTGTTTCAAGTAGGTGCTTTAGACCTCTGAGCCATCTCTCCATCCCTTGTTTATTTATAATTGTGGGGTTTTTTGTGTGTGTGTGTTTGTGTGTGTGGAACTGGGGATTGAACTCAGGCCCTTGCGCTTGCCAGGGAAGCGCTTATTCTACTGAGCTATCTTCCCCGGCCCTGTAATTGTGTCTTATATTTAATGGCTACTCATTCATATTGAGTAATGGGAAGGATGACCAGATTTCATTTCTTTCGTTCGTTCATTCATTCGTCCGTCCTTCCTTCCTTCCTTCTTTTTTTTTGTTCTTTCATTCTTTCTTGGCGGAAGCGGGGATTGAACTCAGGTCCTTCCATTGAGCCATTGCCCCGGCCCCTCATTTCATCTTTGATTGAATTTCAACTTAGTTTTCTTTTAGTATCTAAAGTATTTTATTAGTTTTGCTTAGTACCAAGAATACAACTCAGGACCTCTGTGCCATTGAGCACCATCCCCAGCGCATATGTAAAGTTTTGCCTTTTGAAAGTCCTCTTATTATGATTTCATGATCATCTCAAGACCTGGTAAAGTTAGGACTTTGCTTTGTTTTCCCTAACCTAATGGAGTTGTAGGAAAACAGCAACATCTAGTTGTACTCTTAGTCTGGACTTTGGGTAGGACCCTAATTGGTCACATTTCTTAGCTAATGTACAATTTTATAGTAGTTCTGTGTTTAGTTTGGCAGTGTTTGCTGTCAAATATCTCTAATAACTCACTCATCTCACTTAATGTTAGTTTTTTCCTCATTTCATTTGTTAAATTTGGAGGTTAGAGGTACATGCCTGGCCCTGTCTTTTTAGAGAGTGGAGATAGAGTCTTGCTGAATCATCTCTCACGACTCCCAAATGCAGTCCTGACACCTTAGCCCCACAAAATGTGACACCAACTCTGGCTGGATTTACTTTGTCTTTTATTGTATCAGTACAGTTTATTAATTAGTGCTTCACATTAACCAATTTTTTCTTTTTTTTTCTTTTTTTTTGCGGAACCAGGGATTAAACTCAGATCCTTGCGTTTGCCAGTCAAGCACTTATCCTACTGAGCCATCTCCCGGGCCCCCTTCAATTTTTTCTTGAAAAACAACACAGCTTGTTTGCAATGGAAAGTCTGTCACATTTTATTTTAGTTTACTTTTGGGCAGTTCCTAGTCCTAGGGATTGAACTGACAGCCTTGTGCTTGCTAATCAACACATGCTCTATTACTGAACTAGATGCCTGCAGCTCCAGGCCATCACATTTTCAATATAAATTCTTTTTATTTAGAAAAAGCGGGGTTTTAGCCAATTAAGAGGTGAGTTACTATATTGACTATTATAAAATACTACAATGTCAATTGATTTTTCCACCCCTTTTATAGTACAAACAAAATCCTGAAATGTTCAAACAGACAGCTCGACTTTGGGCACACGTGTATGCTGGAGCACCAGTTTCTAGTCCAGAGTACACCAAAAAAATAGAAAACCTATGTGCTATGGGCTTTGATAGGGTAAGTACTTAACAGAGTGTTTATTTTGGGGGGGGGTGTGCGTGCTTGTGTGTGTGTAGATTTTTAAATTAACACTCCAAATCTGTGGCTGGGAAAAGTGGTTTTAACAATATGAGAAAATCTCATTGTGTAAATAAGTTTGTCTATTATCTATTAAATCAATACAGATTATTTTCCTTTTTATTCTAGTCGTTGGTTTTAGCTTTTTACACATTGCGAATATAGGGCAATGTATAGAAATGAAATGAAGTGTGATTTCTCAGTATATTCAGTTGTTTTTTTAAATGTTTCACTGAAATTTGATTTTTTTTCTTTCTGCAGAATGCAGTAATAGTGGCCTTGTCTTCAAAATCATGGGATGTAGAGACTGCAACAGAATTGCTTCTGAGTAACTGAGGCATAGAAAGAGCTGCTGATAGTCAAGCTTGTCTCTTCTCCAGGAGCATCAACATCTGTTATTTTTAGGATTCTGCATAGATTTCTTTTAAACTGGCATTCTTGCCTAATGATGTTATCTAGGCAACCATTGGAGACTGAAAAAAAAAAAAATCCCTGCTATGTAAATAAAGCTAATTAAACGTCTGTGTAAATTTAAAAAGGGGAAATACTTTTAATTTTTTTCTTTACTAGTGTAAAAATTCTTTGAGCTAAGCTAAAACCATGGAAAAACATGCTACTTTAGTGTTTAGCGGTATAAAAAGACTAGCAAGAGTTTGCTTCAGGATTTTCTTGAATAATTAAGATAATGTTTTGAGTGTGTCAGGGCCATTCAAGTTGTTGGTGTTGCATCACAGCTACCTTAATTGTTTTTAACATGGATCCTCTGTGCCTGTGAATTTACTTGCATGCTTGTACTTGACTTCTTAGAGTGGGTAGCTGAAAAGACCACCATTTTATGCATTAGGAAATTCATAAATATGAGATTTCTCCAGAAATGAAGATGGTGACCCAGTCAGAGTCTAAAATTTTGTCCTAGTTGACAGGTTGGACACTATCTACTTTTCCCAAACTACACACAGCTTAATAATCTAATGGTAGATTTCTCTGTTTTTTGGTGGGGAAATGTGCCAAGCAAAGTAACCCTGACTCCCTTTTGAGATTTAGGGTTGGGAATGTTTTGTTATAGTTCTTTAAAGACTCAAAAGTTTTCCTATGTAAGTAACCTAAGAATGGAGCGGCCAATATTACTTCTCTTGCAAAAACGGTAAATGCTTTGGTGTTGCGGAATTCCTGCATGTAATGAAAGGAAAGAATTAGTTTTGCAATGAATTTGACTTAGAGTTTCAAATTGATGAAGTTTTCTTTGAGAACATTGAAGAATATAGTCCACTGTTTCCAATTAGCCTGATTTTGGGCCTTTTTTTTTTTTTTTTTTTTTTTGAGACAAGGTCTCACTTGCAGCTCAGCTAGCTTGGAGCTCGCTTTGTAGCCCAGGCTAGTCTTGAACTTGCATGGATCCTCCTGCCTCAGCCTCCCGAGTGCTGGAATTACAGGTGTGTACCACCATGCCCAGCTAATTTCAGGCTTTATGAAAATTGCTTTATCAGATACTTTAAAAGTCATCCTTGCTTGCACTTCCCCATATTAACACATGAAAGCTGTGTTGGTGTGTTACTGTACATACTTCAGATGCACATAGGAATAGAAATGTGTTACAAATCTAGCTTTCTTTATGATGTTTCTGATAATGAGAATTGAAAACTTTACCTTGTACATAGTCAGACTTTTTATTCATATTAAAGTTACATTTCATTCTAAGTTCAGAAGTTTGAAAGTGACTAGTTTTACAAGCACCAACACTTAATTTGACTATTTTATGAAAGTTGAAGTAGATTTATGCAGGCAGTTCTATACATACAAATATAATTATTAAGTTTTGAGAATAATGCAAAACAAAAATGGAATCAGACTAAAGGTTGTCTTTTGAAAGTCATAATATAAAAGGTTTTCTTCAAGTGTTATTTATCTTAAATTATGATTAAGTGTTTGGAAAGTGATTTTTGAACCTGATAAGTCAGTATAACTTCAGCCTTTCAATAATCTCGATGCTAGAAGCAATAAAAAAAAAACAATATTAAATATATCATAATGTTAAAGATGTGAAGGTTCTTCGAAAAACTTGTAAGGCTTTCGTAAGTAAAAATAATCTCTTGTAATTGATATATTGCGTACTAAGTGCAGGTTGCTTTGTTTCCAACCCATGTTTGCTTAAGCATAATCACAGCCTTTAATTGTTGTAGTTATTTTCTAAAGATGCCAAAGGAAACAAGATCTTTTCTTTATTTATTTTAAATAGTTAAAATCTACTTTTTATTTTGAGGTATGGTGGGATTTTGTGAAAATATGGTTAGTTTTGTTCCTTGTGTAGAATTAATTTTTTATAGTGGAAGGTGGCTTGGTAATGTTAGTAGTACTTAGATTTTTGAAAAATACCATATACATCCTGTTTACTTTGCCTTTATTATCAGGGTATATTTAATCGTCTGTGGTTAGACAAAAGAGAAAAAGATCTCAGTGGTTACTAATGTCAAGCATCCACTCTTGGAAGCAGCTCTGTTCTGCTTTGATTTTTATGCACACTGGCTAGGTATCTACTCATGTGATTGCACTTCAGCAGCTCTAGTGCCCAGGTAATTGGCAAGTATATGGTATTTAGTTTGACAGGTTCATACATAATGAATTTTTCATTATAAAAATTTATTTCCCTTATTTATCTTTAATGTGATGATAATCTTTATCTTCATTTCCTTTCTGGTACATTTTCCACTGTCTTCATCTCCCCCCGCCCCCATGCAGATTTAGTTCCCCAACATAAAAACTGAGGCATTGCTTTTTTCTTCTGGCCTTTAATATGTTTGGGAAAAGGACACTGCAAGTTTCATCCTAGGGAGAAAGTACTCTGGTGAAAGTTATATTTATAATTCTCAATGTTGTATGATTGATCAGTTTTAAGAGCTCTCAGAAATTATGGTTAAAAAAAAATTCCCATTTAGAGCAGGCATATTTGCTAAAAGTCACTGATACTCTTCATAGGCTTTTGTTATCAGGTCTCTTTGCTAAGTATGTGCCTAATTTATAAGAAACAATTAGTTACATGATCTGTATGAATGAATGAATATATGAATGGCAATGTGATACTGAAACATACACTAGTATGAAAATAAGGAACTTCTTACTAAATTTGATGCTCTGAGTTGGCTCTGAAGTGTTTAAAATTCTGACTGGTTTATATGAACACAGAAAACACCTCCAAGGATATATATGTTTGGAACCTTTAGTACTTTGTGTTTCTGAGAAAAAAGCTATGAAGTGAAAGTAAGTTGAAGAGTTTTGGGGGGGTCTTTTAAAAATAGTTTTCATTTATGATTGTTGATGGCACTTAAAACTATGCAAAATAAATTTTTTTTTTAAAGTATCTGTCAGAATTGGCAATTAGAGTTTGCTTGTGTATGCACTACTGAATGCAGCATATTGTATTCCTCTTTAGGCTACTTCGTAAGTTTGCCAATGTGAAAAGCAGATCTGGACTAGAAGTGTATGCCTGATTTGAGCTTTTAAAATGCTGCAGTAGAGATACGGTAATGTTTTCCTAATTCTATGTAGAAACAGGAATAAAGAAATTTCGTTGTGACTTAAAGATTTAAGACTGGCAGAAAATAGCTTGAGCCAGGTATGCCATTCTTGTATGTAGGAAGGAACAATGTGTGGCAATGAAAATGGAAGTTGTTTGTTTACAGTTAAATTTATTTCGTGAACTTTCACAGACTGATGTTGTATTAATCACTTTTTCTAGTTCCAAGGAATTTTACTTCCAGGGTACAAACCATTGATTCCAAAAAGTTGTACTTCTATTCTTTTAGTATAAGTTGAAACACTATTAGCTAGTTGCTATCATTGTGAAGACAGCAACTTGAAGAATACTGATAAATAGCCTTTTTCCAAACAAAGTGTGACTTTGCTTTAGGGTCTGCAAACCATGTCACACATTGTATTTGCAATATAGATAAAAAATTTCGTGGCATGGGGTGGGGGTGGGGTTGCTCGCTCCCTTGTCCTGCTTTGTTACTGCTTTACTGGACTGATCTAATCTCATAAACCTGCATCATCACCTAAAAATGTAGTTGTGAATATGCCACCTTTTGCTTGGTTATTTTAACCATGCTGCTACATATAATCAGGTATGGCATAGCTAGTTGGTTTGGTCTGAGAGTGAGTGGCTACAACTCATTGCACTGTGCTGTGAACGATCCTTTTCTGCTTGCTGTAACCTACTTTTTACAGACATCATAATAAAAGCTAGACTATTTCTTTGGGGAAAAAGAGACTTATTTAATGTTATTTAAAGAATTTTCCAATAGAAAATGAAATACTATTGAAAATAATCTATTTTTTAGCTTTCAGCAATTGATGGTGCTTTGTTGTGGTGTCTGCTGGAAGTCTACTGCCATTATAGGGATTCTCATTAACCTCACTGAGAAAGAACCTTGCTTGTTAGCTTCTCTAGATCTCTAAACAGTCTGTTAGTGATGATAAATTCCATAGGAGGGTCTATTCTGAGCCATTAACTTCCTGTAAGGGGAATATGGGTGGGTTACCAGAAATACCATTGAAGCAGGGTGGGCTGTGGGTGGAGGGTTGGGTATTTGTCTTGAGAATTAAAAACTACGAAACACTTTTGTACACAACTGATTTTTTAAAAAAAATAAATACATTTTTAAAGATGTTGAATTTTCCCCCATTATTGGGAATTCTTAAAAATAAATGCATGCATGTTTTCCCCTGAAAATGGTTGATATCTTGTTTGTGGGTTCTCATCTCTGAATAATTAAATCTTCACATTTACTTTACTTTAAACAAGATCCAGGTAGATAATTCTTGACATTTTGGTACTGAAGTGCATATTGTTACTTAAATGATACATTGTATCAAGTCTTTGAATTTAAAAACAGGTTGAAATTGTTTAGTTCTAATTAAACTTATTTTTAATAATAGAACATTGGTCAGCCTCTAACTTAGAGTTAGTTGTTCAATACTCTTTATTCGTTTTCCATATTGCTCACAAATCTGTTCTTGGTGGTTTTATAGTGCTGTGAAGAGGGCTTTCATCATAGATGATCTTAGGTCTTAATCTCCATTTTTAGTCAAGATCATAGAGCCAGAGCTCTTCTGAGCTTGTTTCTTCATTTGGGTCAAATTTTTGCCCAGTAATTTATAACATTGTGAGGCTCAAATGAAATGATATAGCTGTAAATACAATTTTAACTTAAATCCTGGCTCAACTAGGAGAGAGTTCTTTTGTGGCCAACCTGAAACCACCTCCAAGAGGGTTTGTTTATTAGGCAGGCATGCTGGCTTGGCAAAGCAAGTATTCCTTTTAGGTCTGTTACTAAGTCTGAGGCTGGAACTGCAAGTGTAGCTCATCTAGAAGGTTCAGTATGACTAAAATAATTAGCAAGTATAATCATGTGGAATTATCCATGGATTGTCCCTCCCTCCACACTGATAATTAGAGGCTGTTTGTCAGAGTCCATCCTAATGATTTCACATGGCAAAACTGCTTGTCTTTAGGGTATTTTAACCAGCTCACAGCAAGCCTATGAGTTTTCTGTTGCCTGGAGATGGAATTGTTCTTGTGTTGAAATAAGCAAGATGAAGTGCTCTTTTTGTGTTGTGGGCATGTACTTGTGTCATTTGAGGATAACTGTGAGTGCTCTTACTGTGAGCCATAATACATGGTCAGGTGTAAACAGTTGGTACTTGTTTTGCTGTACGTGGTGGCATGAGTCTTAATTCCAGCAGTATGAGTGGCTAAGGCAGGAGGGTTACAAGTTTGAGCCTTGCCTGAGCTACTTGATGAGTACTCGGTCTTTAAAAAATTTTTTTTAAGTGGAGTGTGGCATGGTGGACCACAACTATAATGCCAGTCCTTGGGAGATTGGGGCAGGAGAATCACTGTGGTCACCCTGGACTGCATAGTGAGTTAATGGCCAGCCTGAGTTTACAGAGTAAGACCCTGTATCAGGAAAATTCATGAGGGGCTGGGGAATATGGTTCAGTGGGATATAGCTTAGCCACAGAATGCCTGCCTGGCAAGTGCAAGATGGTGAGTTTGGTCCCTGGTACCAAAAAACCCTTAATTAGGGGCCGGCAAGATAGCTCAGTAGAATAAGCACCTGCCTGGCAAGTGCAAGGGCCTGAGTTCAATCCCCGTTTCTGCGAAAAACAAACAAAACAAACCTTAATTAGATTAAGTACGCAGATAGCAAAGGGGAAACAGCTCAGAGCAGTGGCCCTGGATGCCATCGCCTGTACATCTCCCCCATACCCCTAAGGTGTCAAGACAGAAAACTATTGAAAGTGAAACAAGCTCAATATAATCTTTTTTATTTGAAG